AGTTACCCCGATTATTAACCTACTTTCCAAGTCCCCCTGACCCTCCAAGAAACAGCAATCCAGGATGATACCTGAACTCCGGACTGACTACAGTAGGCTTGTGTAGATTAGCCTGCCTAGACCCAAAATCCAAAATCCTAAACCCTAAACCCCTAAACCCTAAACCCTGTCTGGCCTGTTCCAAGCCGCATCATAAAGCTTGAGCCTGCGCTTTGACACTCGCGGTTTAGGGTTTAGGGTCTAGGGTTTATGGGTTTAGGGTTTAGGGTTTATGGGTTTAGGGTTTAGGGTTTATGGGTTTAGGGTTTACGGGTTTATGGGTTTTGGGGTTTATGGGTTTAGGGTTTAGGGTTTTCAGAGTTTATGGGTTTAGGTTTTAGGGTTTATGGGTTTAGGGTTTAGGGTTTATGGGTTTAGGGTTTAGGGTTTATGGGCTTAGGGTTTAGGGTATTCCAGAAGCTTGCAAGGTCTTGCGCAAGAATTGCAAGAGATGCTGGCGCAAGTGCAAAGCACGTTGCTGCTGAAGTGTGCTGAAGGAGCGGATGCAGGCCTGGAGTTCACTGGAACAGTTGTCGAACTATTACTCACATCGTTTTAGGGTCTAGGATCTAGGGCCGTCCAGACGCAAGAAAGGCATTGTCCCAATAATGTAGAATCAAATCCCTAAACCCCAAATCCTAAATTCTCAATCCTAAACCCTAAACCCTAAATGAACAAGAACATGGAAAATGAAAGGGCAACTGCCCTAAACCCTAAACCCTAAAACCCTAAACCCTAAGCCCTAAACCCTAAACCCTAAACCGATACCTAAGCCAGGTTCTGACGAAGAGGAGAACCTCGGCGTCACGTTATAGGGTTGAGGGTTTAGGAGTTATACAGGGAAATGTTAAAGACATTTTATAGGAATTTCATAGGGTTTTGAGGTTCTCATGATTTCAAGGATTTAATCGGGATTATGCCGGGAAATATCGGGATATGTTTTTAAAAGGTTTGCATAGGGATATATAAGTATATAAGGATATGTAGGGGTTATCTGGGGAGTACCCAGAGTGTAGGTGGATTATTACCCCAATAGTCAATAATGGAGTCTCAAATGGGGAAAACGTGGACATGCAATGGAACTTGGGGTATGCCAATGACTGCGACGTTTTGGTTCGGTACCTGTGTTTGTAATCGGATCCAGGAAGGAAAGCACTCAAGGTATGACTAGGCTACATCCTATATCCGTCTATGTTTCTATCCTAAGGCCTAAACTCTACACCCCAAAACCATGACAGCAGTAGTACCCTAAACTCCGCTCGGACCAGGCGTCTTGCCGCGGTTTTATTTCTGGAAAAACATGGACCTCCTGGTTTAAAATGGCTTTATGCTGGGTCGAGTTTTTTTTTAGACGCGACCCTCGTAAGGACGTCTCAGGAAATTTCGCGGGCGTCTTTCAAGCCTACGTTCCATGGGAGGTCCAAAACCGAGAAACCCCTACCCTGAAAACCCTGAGTTGGAAAGCCACGTGAGCGGGCTAAGGGTTAAGGGTGTAAGGTTTTACAGATCGGGCAAAGCCGACAAACCCTGTCGTCCCCCTGAAGTAGACAAAGATGGCGTTGGGTATGCTACAATGAGATCCGAATATACCTTATATTCTATGTACTTCAGCCGGACTATAGCCCTTAGAACCCTGAGTCCGAAAAAGCCAAAGTACGACCTGAGCGGGCCCTAAGGGGGACTATAACCCTGGGAACCCTCAGTCGGAAAAGCCAAGTCACGACCTGAGCGTGTTTAGGCATCCGGGTGTAGCGGGCGAGTATCAGACAGAAGCTGCAGCAATGTACTGGGTTGCTATTGAGGAATTCAACTTAAGTTACTATATTGGGGTAACCCGTTTATTTACTGTGTATATATATATACACACATTTACCCATTGTGGTAACTTAATTTGGGGGTCTAGGGTTTTACAGGAGTCGGCAACCCAAGTCTGCAAAGTATGTGGAGAGGAAAGAAGCAGAGATGGAGAGCCGGCATGTTGATGTCAGAGTGGAACACGAACGGAATTATGGTTTGGGCATGGATGCGCTGAGGGCCGTATGCTCTTGGAACACGAACGGAATTATGGTTTGGGCATGGATGCTCTGGTTCTTGGAAATCTCAAAACATGAACGGAACTATGGCTTGGGCATGACTGTGCTGCTTACCGGAAAAACTTTTGCAGATGCAGCTAGGGGACCTGTTCGTACAAGGAGCGACGACTGCTTGTGACGTCAGCTGCAGCAGAAGCAGAGTCCATAGGTATGCGGTTGCCATACCTACGAAGGACTTAAAGCATCTGTCTCTCATTAAGGCAGCTGTCCCCACTGCGCCTCCCAGACGTGTAAAAAGGTGTGTAGCTCAGCTGGCTCTTGCACAAACGGAAATCGCAATCCCTCTTGAAGCACCTGCAAGCAGGGTTCTGGCCTCGGCCTGTTCTTCGCGGATTTCTAAAAGGGCTACCGCATTTCCAGCATGTTCGCCTCGTGACAGCAAGGTAGACGTCATGCTCTTCCAGAAACAAGCTGCCTGCACTTCAGGTGAGACCAGCGGGATATGTCTCCCAGCGAGACGTCAGCCGCGTCCCCTCAGCTGCCACGCATTCAACACGAGGAGTGCTCAGGGTATTCTCAGGCTTCAACTTCAGAACCCATCCTGTATTGATGTGCTGACGATTTGTCTCCTGAGACTCTGTGCGGCAGTGTGGCCGCGCAGGGGCTTTGACTTGAGAAACGGCAGATTCTTTAAGAACGTGCGCCCGCGCTCAAAATGCTTCGAGCGAAGCTTGGCCATGGCCAACTCTACATTGCACGGATGCTGGCCGCGCAACCCGTGAGCTGCGCGCCACTTTTGGGCCGAAAAAGCCACGAAATGCTGGCCTGCGCAATGTTTCTGACATGTGTGTTTCTGCGGCGAGACGGCTGGTCGGGCTAAACCCTAAACCTTAATCCCTACACCCTAAACCCTAAACATTAAACCTAAACTCTGAACCCTAAACCCCTATATGCCTAGAGTGTGATGAATAGTCTGAGGCTTGCAGCCGAGCGCCTGGAGTTGGATGCGCAGCTGATCTCGCAGGAGCGCCAAACACTAAGATCGTTCCAAAAATCTATGACAGTGACAGCCAAACATATAGGACATGATTGAGAGGTGATCGCTGGTTTGGGTTTTGTTTTCTTGGGGCTTAGGTTTAGGGTTACCCTAAACCCTAAGCCACATCAGGGTAGGAGCTCGCAGGAGCTGCCGCTCTTGAAGTCCGATCCACTTCATGGTGTCCCGAAATCGGTCCTCAAGGCCGCAACAGGACATCTTTCATAGTAGGTATAATAGTAACTTAGGACCCCCCATCTTGTAATAGTGGTATAAAAACAATATAATAGGACCCCCCCCAATATAATCCTTATGATCCCTTATAGTCACTGTTACTGGGTGGGGGTCCACCTAAGTAGTAACAACTGTATGAGTAGCACAAAAAGTGAGCATAAAGGTACAGTTGAAGTACTATCGCAGCGTTCATCTCGAATTTCATTGTCTATGTCTTTCCCACTTCACTTGATTCTCCGTCATAGGGACCCCACGGTAATGCAGTAGTTTCCGTTGCCTTCGCCCTACAGGCGATGGCTTCGCTCTGCAGCTTGTATTTGGAGGGCGGGGAGGACATGGATGGGCGGCATCCCATGCACTGGGCGGCAAAACATGGGAGGCACACATGTGTACTATAGTCTAAACTCCTTAAAGGGGGTTATATAGGGGAGTTGCATAAGGCTTATTAAAGGGGGATACTAGGAGTTTAGATTATAGTTCATCTGGGAGTTTCCAAAAAGGTCTTGTGTCAAGGATAAAGGTGTTGTAGGGTCGATATGGGTACCCACGTGTACGGCAACCCATATTTGTGTAATTCTGGAGTGCTGCAGGGTCTGTTACTTGGGGATGTTTTGGGTCATTCCCCCTTACAGTAACTGTTACCACAATGGGTTATAGGAGTTATAAGAATCCCCTTAATAAGGCCCCTTTAAGGACAATTACTGGGAGGGGGAATGACCCAAGGGATGTTGCTGTGCAGGCGAGACGTTATCGAATTCCTGCTACGCTATATCTACGAAAGTTTGAACCAGCGAGATCCTGACGGGCGAACACCGCTCTTCTATGCCGAGCGCGCTGGCAATGTTCCTTGGAGAGGGCACAGAAGAATGCTGCTTTGCTGAGGCCCTGAATCCTTAAACCTTCAACCCTGCACCCAGGATGCGCTTGCAGCTTTTTTGAGAGAGAATGGCTGCGATGCAAATCCACAGGAGCCATGCAGAAGTGTGCAATGTGGGGAGAATCCCACCATTGGGAAGTACTTTTTTGGGGGGTCCGAAAAAAGGATTTTATCACTTTGGGTTCATATTGAGCTTCCCCTTTTCAGGGAAGTTAGAGAAACCCTTCACCTTCTGTAGCACTGGAGGCGAAAGTCTGCAGGGTAACCGCTGAACCCTAAACCTTTTACCCTAAGCCCAGAAAAACCCGAAACCCTTAACCCTAAAAGCTCCTTGACCGCAGACGCCGCGAAGCGGACAGGAGCCGGTCCAAAGAAGACCTGTCACTGGCACCGTGCCCGAGGCATTCGCCGTCGCTCTGCTGCATTGCAAGCCTTGCACGTTGCACGTGAAAAATCATCATGGGAATGCAAGTAATAATGGCAATAATGTCATCATAGTAGTAGTAGTAGTAGTCGTCGTAGTAGTAGTAGTAGTAGGAGGAGCCATAGTCATAGAAGTAGTAGTCATAATGAGTGAAGGTGGTAATCAGAGTCATACCAGTAATACTACAAAGAGTAAGAAGAATAATCTTAGTAATCATACTAGTCATAGCAATGATAGTAGTAAGAGTAACAATAGTAATCAAAACAATCATTGTAATAATAGTCGTAATAGTAATATTAGTATTAATAGTAACAATCATAAATAATCGTAATGACGTTAAAATAGTGCTAATAGTACTAATCGTAGTTAGAGTCATAAAGATCCTGCGCTGTGCCATGCGCTCAGGATGTGATCAAGGTGGTTGAAGAAAGAGGTTCGCACATGCATCTTTTTGCAAGAGATGGTTAACCCTAAACCCTAAACCCTAAACCCTAAATGCTGCTGTCAGCCACGTGGAAGGCTGGCATGCCGTGAATTGGATGGAGGGCTTCACGCTGCTCCACTGGGCTGCTGAAAAGGGCCTTGCTGATTTCTGCAGGCTGACGGGCTTCACTTCAGGTCATGTTAGTCTAATTCTTGTTCTTGTTGTTATTAATTATTACTAGTATTATATGCTTACTTTTTGATTATTGAAGTTACTATTATTATCATTATTGATATCCTATTATTGTTGGTACTATTTGTGTTACTATTTTATTCTTATTGACATTCTATTCTCATCGTTAGTATTGATGTTCGTGCTTTTTTTTGCTGCGATCATTTCCATCGCTACTAATACTCTTATTGCTGGTATTGCTATTGCACCACTTGGCCACTTGGGCTAGTGCTTGACAAGTTTTGCATGACACATGTGCGTGTGTAGGGGATGCGCGGAGCTAGCAGGTACTTCGTGGACCTCAATGCTGATGTCAATGCTGTTGACAGCCGAGGGCTGCGTGGCAGCACGAAAAATTACCTGAGCTATAGTCTAAACTCCTAGTATCCCCTTAATACCCGCTATAATAGTCCCCTAAATAATCCCGTATATAACCCCCTTAAGGAGTTTAGATTACAGCTCACCTGATGCGAGTCCCTGGTAGGATTTTCTTGTGCAGCAAACCTTGCAAGAAGGCGAACGGCGCTTCAGTGTGCAATCAACTCCAAGAACTCTGAAGCTGAACTGGTGCCTGGGTTGCTGTTAAGGAACCTAAGTTAAGTTGCTACTAGGGTTTTGGGTAGAAGCCCGATTATTCACCATATACCCATAGCATAACTTAGTTTAAGTACCCTAAGTCCTATAAACTAAGCCCCTTCGCCTCCCGCTGAAAAAGGTGCCGCCCAAAAAGAAAAATTAAACCCTGAACGCTAACAGCGACGCAGGTGCTTCGAGAGCTCATGGGCCTGGTTCAAGCGTCGCTCATCTGTGTATGGGGCACCGGCAATCCTCTAAGGGATACATAGGGGTTGTACAGGGTTATATGAGTTGTAGTCTAAAGGTTTAGGGTTTATGAGCTATAGTCTAAACTCCTTACAGGGGATTATATAGGGGGTTATATGGGGGATGATTATAAGGGTGATTGAGGGGGATACTAAGCGTTTAGACTTTAGGTTACATGGGGGGGTTGTAAGGTTATATAGGGTTACGCAGGTTTATATACGCAGGGTTATATCGGTACAGGGTTATATCACGCTATGTAGAGTTATATAGGGTACAGGGTTATATAGGGTTATGTGGGTTATAAAGGGGCCTGAAGACAGCTTCTGCAAAGCTGCCACAGCTAGGACAAGCGATCGCATGCTTGGAGATGCCGAGGAGGCTTGTTCTCAAGCTTTCTCTTGTGTACGTGGGTTATGAAGATGCACATGTGGATGATTTTTGGAGGAACTTGCACAGATGCAGGAGGTCGCGTGCCGTTCTCAGCTTGAATCTGTGCCAGAAGCATCCGGAATGTGTTAGGTTTAGAATGGGTGGCAAGCCATGATGCGAGATGATATGTACTATAGTCTAAACACCTTAAAGGGGGGTTATATAAGGGAATATATAAAGGATTACTATAGGGGTTATTAAGGGGGATACTAGGAGTTTAGGTTATAGCTCAATGATACCCTAAACCCTAAGCCCTAAACCCTAAACCCTAAGCCCTAAACCCTAAACCCTAAGCTTGAAGGTCATCCACTGCTTCCAATGGGCAGAGCGGAGGGATTCCAGCGGCCTACGTTCGTTTTTTGGGCAGCATTAATGTAGACCCATGATTAGGGGTTAGATAGGGGCTGTATTGGGGCTATATAGGGATGATGGAAAAGAAAATGGAAACTACTATTTAGGGTTTAGGGTTTAGGGGTTAATGTGGACCCATGAATCCTTATTGGGATTCTATAAAGGGATTATATAGGGATATAGAGGGATATAGAGGGATAATGGAAAAGGAAATGGAAACTACTATTTAGGGTTTAGGGTTTAGGGGGACCCCCCACCCAGTAATAGTGACTATAGGGGATAATAGGGATTATACTAGGGTCCTCTTGTAGTCCTATTATACCACTATTATAGGGTGGGGGGTCCTCCTAATGTAGACCCATGATTAATGAACCCCCTTCTTTCAAGGGCCTTAATAGAAGGATCCCCATTATAATCCCTATTCAGGGGAGTGGGTTTAAAAGCATGGGTCTACATTAGCCATGCCAACGGACCTCCCCTCGCCTCCCTGCCCCTGTGCTTGAAGCCAAGGTGTCATGCAGCAGATTGATCTCATAGGTTGGGAAAAGATGCATTGGGCACGTGGTTTCACGCTGCTGCATTGGGCTGCCAAGCACGCCCATTGTCTGCAAGGGAGCTTGTGCAATCAGATGGAGCCTGCTTCCCATGTCGAACTGAGTATTGAATTGAGGGCTCTTCATTACATCGCTATGATAGTTCTTATTTTTCTGGTGGTATTATATACAGGTACCAGGATTATTTTCATGCTTTAGTAGTATCATTTGGGCAGCAAACCTCAGACACTCTGCGAGACTTTGCGCTAGTGGGGCAGATTTTCGGACCCCTGACCAAGGACAGAGCAGATCTTTGTGACCCTCAATTCAAAGAAGTGTGCCGCAGGTGATCGTGGCTTTATGCTTCATGCAGTGAGTCCATGACACTACTCAGACATTCCCAAGAGTTTCCCAGGGTCCAGGAAAGATACGCTGTTGCCGAGGAGCTATTTCTGTGGTATGGCGCAGATCCTGAGCATCAAGACGATCAGGGGCACTCGGCCCTGGAACCTTTGATTTTCCTCGAAAGATTTTGGAATTTGTAGGGGCAATCCTAAACGTTAAGCCTGAAATAGCAGTTTCCATTTTCTTTTCCATTATTCCCATATATTTATGGGGCCCTTGAACCTTGAACCTTAAACTCTAAACCCTGAACCTTAACCCCTAAACCTCTGACGCTGAACCCTAAACCCTAAACCCTAAACCAACTGTCGGAGGTGTGCCATTTAGGGGTTACGGGGTGTGGTTGCTCTGAGTCGGTATCCCGTGGAGATGCTTTATTACCTCGCCCGGATTATGCCTTGCGTTGCTACGGCCATGAGTGGCAAAAACAACCCTAAACCTTAAACCCCAAACCCTAATCCTTAAACCCTAAACCCCTAAACCTATCCTTGGACAGGAGAAAGGTCCTGTAAACAAAAACAAAACCTATCCCAGGATTATGCCCGGATCCGGGAGCCTCAAGCCTCTGCCGCCTTGGGGTCGCTTCTGCGAGGTGGCTAGGCAAAGATTGGTTTAGGGTTTGGGGTTTAAGGTTTAGGGTTTAGGGTTTAAGGTTTAAGGTTTAGGGTTTAAGGCTAAGGGGTGCTACTATTTTTGCGATTAGTCTTTTTGTTGTTATTGTTATTACCATTGTCATTGCTGTGCTGGTGCTATTCTATGCAAAATCTGATGGTGATATTTGCAGCCGTGGTGCTGAGGAAAGCCGCTGTCAAAGCCTGCAGTGTCCTGATTTGCCAGAACGTTAGCCAGTGGCAGCCGGTGTGGTTTAGATCCTAAACCCTAAACCCTAAAACCCTAAACCCCAAACCCTACACTCTAAACCCTAAAACCAGGCTTTAGGGTTGCTTCCAGTGGTAGCCCATGTGGACATTGGGTTCTGGAAAGAGACCTTGGGGTCCAATGCCTTGCCTCGGTGCATACATAGTGGCTCTGTCTCCATGCTAACGAGATGCACGCTCGTACATGGCTGAAAAACCCAGCCGTGAATTGGAATCAGCACTGTCTTAGTGCCAAAGAGTTCCGATTACTGCTGCGTGGGCCATGTATTGGGAGTCAGCTTGCCTGAAGGCAGGTTGGCCGGCAGTTTCAGGTAAAGGGTTTAGGGTTTAGGTGACTTACAGGCGAGGATCTTTGCAAGTTTGCTGCAAAAAGCGTGACTTGCAGAGAACAGAACTCAAGACATCTTACTACAGCTGACTGTTTGTTCATGGCTCCCGCAGCAATCTAGGCAATGACTCCATTTGGAATTGCTGATGCAGTTGATATTCAAAAGTCCTGCATGACCCCAAGTACCATAAACCTTCGGAATTATGGCATGATAGAGTCATGCAGTAATGCAGGATTTTGGCATCAACCCATTGAGTCTTCAAAAAACGGCTTGTTGACATGCCAGGCAAGGCCTCGGACCCTAAACCCTAAAACCCTAAAGCCCTTAAACCCTATAGTTCCCCTTAAGTAGATAGAATATGGCTTGGGGTATATTATGATAAGATCCCCCTATACCCCATATTCTATCTATTCGGGGGGTTATAAATCCTATGTAAAATGTAAACCCTGACATCCTCAACCCGAACAGGGTATGCTGTCACGGTAGGGCTAGGCCTTGTGCAGGCCGCGCTGCCTCCCGAAAAAGTTTGACGTTGTTTCATTATGGGGTAACGGGGTTTAGGGTTTAGGGTCCCCATTATCTACCCCAAGCTACTGTAAACCTCATTCAGCGGACGCCACAATAGAGATCCATAGTTTCTGGCACCAGATAATCACCTGATTTGGAGTGAGCCCCATGTCTTTGCTGGGATGCTTTCCTAAGCCCTAAACCCCAAACC